ATGATAGGCAGTATGGACTGCAGAATATGTCGGTAGCCCCATGCCCTCTGTGGGTGGGAATGTCCTGTGGATTGGATAATCTGTGTTGGCCCTTAACAGTACGTTTGTAAATGACACTGGGCAACTATTCGTATTCCCTGTTTTCAGGAACGCTGCTAGCAATCCTAAAAACATCTGAAAAGTCTTGTGACGGAGCTGTCAGCGGTGCCTCCATGAAGATTTCCACTAGGTTAACCTGAGACAAATTTCAGGCGTGATAAGAATGTATGCTTATAGCCGTCACGTTTTAGAACAACCTTTTTCGAAAATGATTGAATAAATTCCGCTGACGAAGTCTTTTTAAATTTCCTTCCTCATTCCTTCACTTCGAAGTTTTTTATCGAATTATGTGGCTCATTCACAATTGGTTGATTCCAACTCTACCTCCACAAGTCTGCCTAAATTTCAGAATTGTCCATTAGTAGAATTAATTTTAGTCTCCCATTTACGTGGACTAGAAAAAACAGTAAATCTTCTTTTGTAAGCCTAAAATTAGATAGTCAGAGCCGATTGCACAAAGAATTAGTGCTAAATCCTACTTTCTTTGGAGTCAATATGCTTCGTGTACCAGTCTAGGCTGACACTGCCTTTTTAGTTAATCGCATTATGTACATCAGCACTAGTGGATTCGTTGCTTTGACCCTGCCAGTATTTCTATCACATGCCAAGTCCACCGACACTTGGGTCGTTTTTTGCGTCAATTCGGTTCAGAGAATAAAGGAAATAAAAATGGTGTTTGATTTTAGCATTTAAAAATGTGACGCATTGCAGATTCTCATCTATAGCAATAGAGGAATGAGGAATGGGGAAAATGCAGTCAGTAATGTCGTCAACAGCGGTACAGCGGGGACTCAACATCCAAAACTTATGGCGTTTTCAATTAGATAAGATAAACGACCATTCTTTTGGACTTGTCTCAAGGACTCTTGATCACATCCCAAGATAAAAATGCCACAATTTTATAAATGATTAAAGTTGGGGCTGTGTTCATAGAACGCCCCAACTAAACAAATGAGTTTGACTGTTTTGGTATTTTTGAACTGTATTAGGGTGTAGGGAGGACAAAATTAAGTCAAAGCTCTGCTCTCCCCCTAATTTAACTCTAACCAGGAATGTCAACTAACTTATTTTGAATGATTGACAAACAAGATGCAACTCTATGGTGCAAGATGTTGCAAGTGAACACCGAATGACACTAACATTGTAAAGAATATAGAAAGAAAACGATAGCCAGGAAGCATTTGCTTTTCCTCGAGCTTTCTAGACGAAACGGACCTCGAATTTTTATACGATCTGCCAGGATCAACGCTTAGTTGAATACGCATTACTTACGTTGATCATCAATGTGCCAACTCAGGCTTGACATCACTGAGACATGTCACTGATTTAGGTTTCTGGCTGTAAAAATTCTTGCTGCTTAAACTACGGTTTGCTGACTACTTATGAGCAGCTTTGATAATTCCAATGATGCTTGTAGGTTAAATGCATTTATTGCAAGTGAATATTTTCCTGTCAGGAAATAAATATTTCTTTTGAAAATGGGAATCTTATTGTTTGCCATCCCTTCCTCGGTATACGTGGACACTGTACCACCCCAACCACTAACTTATGCATCTGTAAATCTAATTTTTACAATTCCAATTATTTTCCCCTGCAATGACACAGCAATTCTCTTTGCATTAGCTCATTGGATTCCGCATGCTTCTACGGACAAAGAAAGAAATCAAAATGCGGAAGAGGCATAATTCTGCGTAACATAGTTCCAACTAGTAGTGCTAAAATAGACTCTTATACAAAGTGGTTCCGACTAAATTCTTAGTGCACTCTGGACTGACCTACCGAGAAAGTAAAATCATGCACAAAAACACGTCTAAAATATGTCCAATTTTGCCCACATATTCATAATTTGATTAGATACGGCAATAAGTATCCGACATGAATAGAGATTTATAATTTAGAAATTGGGAATTTATGGTTTTTTGGCACGAAATTCTATTTTGCCCTGGTCAGTGTGATTTACACACTGTAGACGGTTATAATCAATTCGCGTAGATAGTAAATTCACATTGTCCATGTGACCCGACGCTCCTGTTCTCCCGGGTTTTGACTTGCGCTTAGGTGGAGTTATGGTTGATTACAAAGACAAGCGTTGATATTTTCTTGCTTATTTATGGTGCCTTGATTACCCCTTTCCTGCATGTAAAAAAACCAGGTTTTGCAACACTCTGGAATGTTAAACCTTAAAATAAATCCTTTCACCATTCTACTTTATCGTCTGGAATTTTTTTCTCACTTCTCTTTCTAGGCTCCACATCATTATCAACCATCTGGAGACTCGGTTAGTCAGTAGACGAACCAGCAGGCCTGTATGTGCACGTGGCGCTCTTCAGTGAGCATGCGTACAAGCTAGCAGATGGCAAAGGACGAGGAGGACTCTGCATTCTGTGCACAGTCATGTGCCCGCACGATGTGGGAAAAGAATGGCTACTGCCCTAGTAATGCGTCGCACCTGTGTGGATATGTACGATAAGCCAACAATATACTCGTTGTCACTACTCCGATTAGCCGTGACACACCTACTCACGAAGAAATTCTAAGAAGAAATTCCATACAATTTTTGTGCTTCCGGTGGCCAGGCAATATCTGGGTCAAATTAATTCAACACTTTATTACCTTCGAAATTTTGTATCCATCATGCCCTATCTAAATTTTCAACACAACTGAATCAAGCTTATCCCATTTGGGGCCTTGAAATATTTCTATTTATGCGGCTTGATCTTTCCAAGCGTACAGGGCACAGAGCAAAAGTCATATGCATGGATGGATGGAGAGACACAAATGAAAGCAAACAACTATATGTTGAAAATGTCTAAAATCATCGCAGGTTTTTAAACGTCTTCTAATCCCTTTTTCTTCCTCCCCTATTATGTAACACCCCGATTTCCTTGCAAGTTAGCCACCGCACGGACTGGTAGATGCATACGATGCAAACGCAATCGCGATAACT